CTCTCTTTCTTCCCCCAGTTTACAAGCCTTGAGAAAGGAAAAATCCCGAGATGCTGCTCGTTCTCGAAGAGGAAAAGAAAATTTTGAATTCTATGAGTTGGCCAAATTGTTGCCACTCCCTGCTGCCATTACCAGCCAGCTTGACAAGGCATCTATTATCCGATTAACAATTAGCTATTTGAAGATGAGGGACTTTGCTAATCAAGGGGATCCTCCGTGGAACCTGCGTATGGAAGGACCACCTCCCAACACATCAGTGAAAGGTATGAGGTTTGCATAGTGATAATACATGGAATGTGGCAGCCAAACTGATCTCTGAATTGAAATGTTTACCATCCTTTCTTTTTTCCCTGCATATCAAATCCTTTAAAGGGATACAAATATGGAAATCTGAGGTCTGCATGAGAAAGACACCATGTGAAGGTGAAATAAACTCTTATTCTCTTTATATTTTATTTTAACATGGACAACTAAGCACAACTAATGTTCTGGGAAAATTAGATGAGTTATGCATATTTATATAATTTAGGTCTTAGTCTAATTTTAAAACTGAGGAGATTGAGGAATGCTAATCCTGGTCTGATACAATGTTATGCACTACATGGTTACTCCGAATAAGTCCCATTGAGTTCAGTGGAGTTTATTCTGAGATAAGTTTGTATAATTGGTTGGATCTTTAGTGTCTTTAAAACTTGAAATAGTTAACTTTAAGTATGCTTAAATCTGTGTTGAACTATAGCTGTGAAATGGATTGTTTTGCATGATTATGAGAAAGAAAATAGCCCTGTTATGTTTTTTTTTTCCTGTTTATTAAGTAGGCAGTACTCTTTTTGAGTGAAATGTAACCTTTTCTGTTATAAGAGTAGTAGTTTGGTAATATATTTTTGTCCAGAGAATTAACTGGGGTTATTTATTTTTCTGGCTGGTTTTGTTTTATTGTGTAATGAATTTGAAAGTAATTTCTTTAAAATTTAAGACATTAGCTTGAATATAAATAACATTTCACTCAAATCTGGTATTAGAAAGAGCTAACTGAATATAGCTCTATCATGATGCTTACGTTGAATTATAAGAAGCCAAACATTCAAGCTGCAGTATCGAACCATTACTTCTATGTCATTGTGTTTTACACTTTTTAATGAATTTTTTATATATATTACAACTGCTTAATTGTATATAAAAAAGTTCACTTGTTAACCGAAACAGGAATAAACCTGTATTAAATGGAGTTAAAAGTTCATTCCTGGATTCAAAAGATATTTGAATACAATAGTTACAAGCCAATTTTTTTTTACCTGATTGTCTTCTTAGACAAAAATGGTTTTTGCTTGGTACTCTCCACTTGCATTCTGTTATCAAAATTGGGAACTAAGCTCTGCAGTGTTTTGTAAAATTTGATTTACAATGGATCTTGGGAGAATTTGGGAAATGTTTCTTACCTTGCTCTTTGAGTCATGAGAGATGATATTAAAATGGATGAGTTTACCATTAAAACTGATTTCTAAATATAAACAAAATTATTTAATTTATTTATTTATTTTAATGATCAGGTTGTTAGGAAGGTATCTCCTAAGGTTATATTCATTTTTGAAGAATAATTTTAACCATGATATTAAAAAGTGTGTCATAAATGATAGTTTATCAACTGTATATACATGTACTTAATGGTGATTATATAGCTTAACATTTGAAAGCTGACTTCAGCATAATGTTACTTCGCCCTATAGAGGGAGTTTTAACTATAAAGGACAGTGGTGGCCTCTCTGTGGGCACGTGCACCGTCACCCCAGCCCAGCTCGTAGCATTTCTCCGTTACGTTTCTCACCATCATTTGCAGGATTTAAAAAAAATGCGTGAAACAGCATTCCACCTTCGTGGCAGTGCATTTGCTGTTGCTGCCCCTTGTGCAGCACAGTGAAACTTAGTGCACTTCACAATGAGGGAGACAGGGTCCCGTCCTCCTGCTGGAACCCATTACAGTGGAATGCTGCTCATTCTCATCTCCCAGATGTCAGATGTGATCCTGCTCATTCTCATCTCCCAGATGTCAGTTGCTTTTCCTACAGAGCTGCCTGTGTTGGGATGCCTGCCTCCCCACCAGCCAGCTGAGCTTCAGCACACTGGTCCTGGGCTCGTCAGCCTCTGGACATCAGATTCCCACCACGCACCACCAGTTTAGGGTTTTCTTCCCCCCTCCCCAGGGGGAAAAAGAGAGGGGGAAAAGAGAGAGAGAGAGAGAGAAACAGAGAGGCAGAGAGAGAGAACAAGGGAAGAAGGGAAAGAGAGAGAGGGGGGGGAAGATAGAGGAGACAGAGAGAGACAGAGAGAGAGAGAGCAGAAGGGAAAGAGAGAGGGAAGGAAATAGAGAGGGGGAAGAGAGAAAGAAAGAGGGAGGGAAAGAGATATGGAGAGAGGGAAAGAGAGAGAGGGAGGGAAAGATTGAGAAAAACGAGGGGGAAAAAGAGAGGGAGGGAAAAAGAAATGATATTACAAAAGTTTTTCTTTTTTATTGTTGCTAAACATAATATTTCAAAAGCAGAAAAAAAAATAAAGAGGCATAAAAGTATATTTATCACATTTTTCTTAGAACAATTATCTGAACTCTGCATTGTTTTATCATTATTTCAGGTAGTAAAATCTCATTACTTAGGTTAAATTGCCGTGTTGGCACTTTTCCATAAATAAGTGGGTTTTGGGTTGGAGTTAGGGCTCTCGGTCTCTAAAAGGTTCACCATCACTGAGATAGGATGAACTCTTTAGGACCATTGTTTTCCTTATATTAGATACAGTGGAAAATTGCAAGGAAGGAATCATTTGTTTTTCTTTTCAATTAACTAGTATGTCATTAAACTTGAATTAAGCATTCTGATAAGTCTTAATTATGATTTATCTGAAGAAACAAGGATAATGTATCAGCTAGTTTGGAAAACAGAACAAAAAAGATATAGTTTTCTTTACCTCTATTTCTCTACCTGTTTGTGGTATGTGTGTTTGTGTGTGTGTATGTGCATTTGTATTTGCATGTTCATATGTGATAAAGCAGAGTGCTTGAAACCAGAGGTGGTATTCAGCAGGTTCTGACCAGTTCTGAAGAACCAGTAATGGAAATTTTGAGTCATTCAGAGAACTGGCAAATACCACCTCTAACTGGAGATTTTACAGAATCCTTCCCCTGGAGTGGGGTAGAAATGGATATTTTGCAATATCCTTCCCTTCGAGTGGGGTGGGAATGGATATTTTACAGTATCCTTCCCCTGCCATGCCCACCAAGCTACACCCACCAAGCCACGGGTGGGATTCTACCAGTTCGCACCTATTCGCTAGAATTGGTTGTTAACATTCTAAGCAGTTCGGAGAACCGGTTGTTAGAAGAAATTACTGGCCTAATCCTGTAAGGAAGGCAGGAAGGAAACATTCTGGTGTTGCTTACAGAAACTGCCTCTCCATTAACCCTTATTACATTCTTGGCAGGACTAGACTTCCTGTCTCAGGAACATCTCTGGAGTTTTTTCCCCCTCCTTTGCTGGTACTTTGCTTGTGTGGAGTGACCATTCAAAGTTACAATGGCACTGAAAAAAGTGACTTATAATCATTTTTCACACTTACGACTGTTGCAGCATCCCCACAGTCATGAGAGGCCAGGCGAGGAGATGCGTGCCTCGATGTGAGTGATATTGAGTTGCTCACACCCAGCCAATAACATGACCACCAAGCCATGTCCACCCAGTCACATGACCACCAAGCCATGACCACCACCTAAGCCACGCCCACGGAACCGGTTGTTAAAAATTTTGAATCCCACCCCTGCACCCAGCCATGCCATGCCACGCCCACCAAGCCACGCCCACAGAACCGGTAGTAATTTTTTTTGAATCCCACCAGTACTTGAAACATATAATTCTACATTTTAAGTGCAGCCATAATAGTCTAATAAGAAGAAATACTTTAATTTTATATAAAGAGGAAACATTTTATTGGTAATATAGGAAGCATAAAAGTTATCTATGGTCGTATATCCACTGATGCCATGTTCAATATACTGGTGTGAGCATAGAAAGAGTGCAATGAACTTTGAGAACATGCTCTTTCATTTGAAAAACCTGGTGCTAAAAGAAATAATGTGAATTATTCAACAAAAATATTTATTGGGATTTTGTGCCCCAATAGCTATATTACCTGTTTATTTCAATTTTATGTTTAGACAAAAGCTAGAGTTATTCCCACTGAAATGTAGGGTAAAATAAGATTATAGGACTGCTTTTATTGTGATTTTGTTTTTTGTTTTTTTAAAAAACCATAGCAAAAGTAGATATAACAGAAACCTGACAGAGTGAGGAGAAGCAGCCAATATTGTTAGCACTTGATATAAAATGTATCGGAGACCTAACAATCTAAAAATCTAAAAAGGCTATAGTTTCTACAGAACCCGTATTAAATTCAAAAATTCCTTACACCCTTTACAATGGATGCTACCTAGTTTCATGTTCTTCACCTAGGGCATGGCAACTGGCATAACAGATAACAGATAATCAGAGTTGGAAGGGACCTTGTAGGTCATCTAGTCCAACCCCCCGCCCAAGCAGGAGACCCTACACCATTTCTGACAAATGGCAGTCCAATCTCTTCTTGAACGTCTCAAGTGATGGCGCTTCCACAACCTCCAAGGGCAAACTGTTCCATTGGTTGATTGTTCTCACTGTCAGAAAGTTTCTCCTTATTTCCAGGTTAAATCTCTCCTTGTTCAGTTTCCATCCATTATTCCTTGTCTAGCCTACAGATGTTTTAGAAAATAGCTTCCTCCCTATGGCAGCCCCTCAAATATTGGAAGACCACTATCATGTCTCCCCTGGTCCTTCTCTTTACTAGACTAGCCAAGCCCAGTTCCTGTAATCATTCTTCATGTGTTTTAGTCTCCAGTCCCCTAATCATCCTGGTTGCTCTTCCCTGTACTTTTTCTAGAGTCTCAACATCTTTTTTATAATGTGGTGAACAAAATTGGATGCAGTACTCTAGGTGTGGTCTTACTAAGGCTTTATAGAGTGGTATACCTTCCTTGATCTTGATTGTATCCCTCTGTTAATACAATTTAGGATTGCATTAGCTTTTTTGGCTGCTGCTGCACACTGCTGGCTCATATTTAGCTGGTTGTCCACTAAGACTCCAAGATCCCTCTCACAGTTACTGCTATTGAGCCTGGTTTCACCCAGTCTATATGTGTACTTTTGGTTTTTCTTGCCTAAGTATAGGACTTTACTTTTCGCTACATTGAATTTCATTTTGTTAGATATGGCCCAGTGTTCTAGTCTGTCAAGATCCATCTGGATCTTGAACCTATCTTCTTGGGTGTTAGCTATTCCCGCCAGCTTAGTACCATCTGCAAATTTGGTAAGTTCTCCTTCTGTTCCCTCATCTAAGTAATTAAT